AACATGGTGTCCTACGGGGTTCCGCCGGGACCAAGCATTCAAGTTCGAGATAAGCGGAATTTCGACTTATCAGGATTCGAGTTAACGAGTTTTCACTGTAATAGCTGACATATCTTGGATATTCGAATACGAATCCCATCTTGGATGGGATTCGTATTCGATACCGGCAAAGCAGGAAAGTACTGTCAAAGTAAGTTTCAAGTTTCAACAAAGGAACAAAGGACGTCAAAGTAGAAAAAGGTGGAAATCGGGAAAGCATTCACCAGCACATCCTGCGCGGAAACCCTTTACGCGATTAGCCTTTCCCAGATAGAGCCCTTTACGCGATTAGCCTTTCCCAGATAGAGCCCTCCACGCGATTAGCCTTTCCCAGATAGAGCCCTCCACGCGATTAGCCTTTCCCAGGTAGAGCCCTCCGATGCTTCTTCTAGTTGTGCAGAGGTCGCTCAACGGAGGAAGGACGGACGAAATGCGTCTCATGTCGCGAGCCGTGGAGGCAATGAATGCCTATTTTCGTTAGTACAGACTGGCTTCATGTTCATCATTGGCCTTCAAAATTCACGACTCATATCATATCTGGTGATGTAGTTAGATATTCGCGGAGTAAGACGCGCACGCAGAGCATGTCGGAAACTAATCATCCCTAAGCGATGGAAAATCCAGGGCTGGATCACCCTAAGAAGTTGCCAAATTCACAGGCCTGCCAAACGTTCGTAAGTTACTGCTTTTCATCGACGTCAAGAAGCGAGCGTCTAGGTGCGAAAACCCTGGTTGGTTCCGCACGAAATGACGACACCGTGTGAATTCCGTGAAGTTGGCTTGCATAGAGTCGGGGACTTCTGGCGCCAGATCCAATAAGTATTGTTGGTTTGTCTTATTTGCTTTGTTGGGTTTTATTTTTTGCTCGAAGCGTTGTCAGTTTCGGGGTGAACGACCGATCCAAACCAGAAACTATTGAAAAAGAACAAGATGTGAATGACTGGATGCGAGCATAAAATGCCTTGATTGAGTATGGCTTGCATGAGATGTTTGTAGCTCAATCGTTTTTAAATTAGATGAAGCAGCTTAAAGTGAGGCTTGGGAAGGTCTCTATTGACGGCGATTTTAAAAGGTGTCCTGTCATTTCCCCGATGTTTCACATCAACTTACGATGGAGGGCAATCGACCGCAGAGTCTCTTACACGAAGAAACTTCCTTCTTTATGAATTTTCTAAAATTCAGATACCAGTGAAGTCCTAATTCTGAGTGTTGCTGCTCAAATGACGATATTTCTGTCTCAGGAAGAGCCGAAAATTAAATGCACTCCATCGTGTCCACGGGCAGATTTACAGTAAACCCTTTCGCTTGCCTCCGAGGACAAGACAATGATACAAATTGACAGAAGAACCCTACCTGATGAAAAATTTCATTTTTTATTTAATAATGAAATTGAAATGTTTTTCCGTCCGTCCCCGCTCATTTTGTTCTTAGTGAGCCCGTAACCTACTGGAACAAGAAAAGACTCATCCTCATTTCGCTCCTCACGAACTCAAACGCAGTCGAAAGACTGATTCCCGAGCCACCCGACTTCTTTATATTTAGTCCCATTTTACGTCTCGATGGACGTCTTGTCGATCGTCTCCTCTATGGTGGTTGAGAGGATTATCCTGCATTTCTCTTGCCTTTTTTCGTTTATTTCTTTTCCTTTGATCTCATTGACATTGTATCCGTTGTCGTGTTCCCTAGGCGAAACAAGTTTCCTTAGGTGGGGAGGGGGGGGGGGGCACATAATTAAAGGATTTCCTCCCCTCCAGGATTAGAGCACATCAGCGACTTTCCCCTTTCATTCCGTTTGCCTTGAGACCTTCCTCGCTTCGGTTCCGGCTCGGTTATGGGTATTGGAGTTGTATGATGTGGGAGGCTGGAAACTTTTTTTTTTCGGAAACAAATACCTTTGTGTCACCATTGTAGAATTCATCAATAAGGAATTTACAACCGGGGAATTAACCAGGAACCACTAAAAAAATTTGCTTTTTTAAAAAAAAAATACAATTTTTGCTTTTATATATTATTATATTTCTAAAGGTATGTGGTGGTGGAGAACCTCCGCTTCATGTTGCTCTCGTACGAGCCGAAGGAGCCCGTTTACCTCGGCTGCAAGTTCAAGCCACACGCCAAGTACGGCTTCATGGGTGGAGGAGCCGGTGAGGAAATTTACATGAAATTCCTGTCGGTTGAAATTTATTCCCATGACCACTGGCCATCGTTCCATTGGCCATTGGCCAGAAAGTATCAAATCAGATGTTACGCTCTACAAGTCTTTTTCTCCGTGGTTTCGTGCAAATCCCTCTGAGATTTGTGAGCATTTCACTTGAAAGAAAATGACGTAACGGTGAAAAAGAAATTCGGTTTCCGACGTCGCGGATACTCGACGACATCCCCAGCTATTACCCTCCAGCCCTTGCCGATTTCCCATGGAAGATAGGATCGCGTTCGCGGTTGATGAGAGCTTCGGCGAAGTTCGACTCGTCGAAGATCGCAAGAGCCGTCTCGGTGAGAAAGGAGGCCGAAAGTGAAGGTTAAAAAATCTGAAAGTAACGTTTTGATATCACAAAGTAATGCTCCTTCTTTCGATTCTTGCAATATTTTCGCCCAATATATTCTGAGATACGTCACCTGACCTCAGGTTACGTGCTGAGCCGCGAGGCCCTGGACCGACTGGTGAACAGAGCCTTCCCCAATCCCATGACCTGCCCCCTCCTCCAAGGACCCGAAGACATCAACGTTGGTCTGTCTCTCTCTGTCTCTTATGAGCTGATGAAAGTCATCAGATGACTGAGCTTTGATTGAGCCTTGAGTTCCAGCTTTGATGAATCGAATTCATCAAAGCTGGAACGAGACCGTGAGCGAAAAGCGACCCCATTTTCCTCACCCATTTCGTGACGTGATTAATGACGTCATCCCTGATCCTTAAAAGCAGCTAATTACCCAGTGCGGACAAGTACGAATACGGTTGATTAACTGAATGTGGTTTAATATAGGGTGACACGCAACAGATTCGTTTTACTTTAAACTGATTCGTTTTCATAATGGACATAAGTTTATCTCTGTTAAACTGATTCCCATAGGGGACCATTGTGAAATCAATTTAGTTTCGCTAAAACGGATCCGATGCATGTCAGCCAAAATCAGCGAACCGTTAGAGTGATTTGATACACAGGGTAAGGTGGGGGAAAATGAGGGAGAACATTTTTTTAAAACTTCTGGTCAGATTTTCTTCAAATGAGCAACCTATTGTTTATGCGGTCACCGACCCCCATCGGCGGAATATAAAAAAAAAATTGGTACCCTGTCTCATTTTACCCCACTGGAACTTCCCAAAATTCACTACTCTGATTCTCAAATATTTTTCCTGGTTTTTTTAAGATGAAATAGCTGACCATTCTCGAATTAGTAACTCAAGTACTAAATCGGAATCACAACGTCACGTGTATACCGATGAGAATATTACATCCAGGGGTATGTTTGGCGGCGGTCGGGGTGGAGGGCGGGGACTCGCGGGACGAGTATGGTGGATGGCGCTTCCACCATCTCGCCACTTGGTATCACGTGGATCCAATTCCGGAGCACGAAGGGAACATTCCGGAGTGGTTCACCAACTACACGGCTTATCCGCATCGGCGTGGACTCGGCTGCTGTTCCCACACGGCAGTGTCCTTCCATTACGTGAAGCCGGAGGAGTTGTACGAGTACGACTACTTCATCTACAAGCTCCGGCCGTACGGCGTGGCCCCTGTTTTCGCGGGACCGGAGCGGCGTAGATGAGGATTCGGGGTCCGCTTCGATACTCGATCTCTTGGAATTGTTTTTCATTCTCATCTTTGTGAATAGAAATTAAATCGTATAATTATTGGCTTCCGTAACGGAATTTTCATTGGTTCCGTTTCTCTCATTACGGTAAGCATATATATTTTTATGTGCTTCGGATCGTGGCATTTGACAGGTCATCAGTCGGGATGAGGGTTCGTTATGTGAATGTAAAGGGTTCACGAAATAGAAATGTCATCCAGTAGACGAAAATTCTAGACCAAGAATTGGTTGTTTTCATGATTTGGCTGCAACGATTCGCATGTGGAGAGAAAAGGGTGACAAACATTTAACCAATATTCAAGATTATAATGTATCCATACGCACGACTAGACTAGAAAATGGAAAGCCGAAACATTTTGCCGTAGCATAAGTGGAATTTTAGTTCTCTCTGACTGAATAAAGCAGTAGAATTCGTGCAAGAGAGAAGGAAGACATGAATGATCATCGTCATCGATGAAAACAATCAACCAGCAGTTCGGTTTCATCCACAATGAACCTCCAAGACAGGACGAAGCCCAGAAGTCCTCGGAGCATGCGTCGCCGCCCACGACGGCGTCACGAGGAAGTAACTGACCGTCGCACGGATGAGGTGAGTGGAATAGAGGAAACGTGTCGGAATCAGGAAAGCGAAATCCGGTTGCAGTGTCCGTCGAAATATTATCCTTTATTCAACATTTCCCCAGATGCTTCTTCTAAATTGCATTTTGTCGAGAAAGTATGTCGTCGTTCCAACATGCTGTAATGGCCAATCTCAAATCAACACAGTCTCCTTTGATCCCATATACTTTTGGCCCGTTCGTCAGAGGACCGTGTCCCTTCCACGACTCAAAGGGAGATCCGCATAATAATAAAACTAAGACTAGCAGCTTGATTTATTGCAAGCAAGTCTTTATCAAACGGGGGTTCTTATCGCCGAGAGAGCGTAAGTCCTTTATTGGACTACGTGCATTTTCGCGATCGGAAGTGTTTCTGACTCAACAGAGACTGCTTTCTCTACTTCCGCCATCTCGAAGTCCAAGGCACCGAGTAAAATTTGCAGAGGATGAAAAGGATATTCTTTGGCGTCTCTTCCCTGTTGGTCCTTCTGTCGTCGGTTCTCTTCATTTCGTCCATTCTCGATGGCCCCTCGTGAGCATCACCGTCTCAGGTAATCGTATCATTCGTGTAATTAATTTAATCAATGGTCGGAGGTCGTGTTTGCAGAGTGAAGAAGAAAAGAGAGAAGCCAGTGGTGGACTTTGAAAAAATGGTGGTCGAGGAGGAGTCGCTCTATGGAGGTGACTTTAACCTTTAAGGTCAGAGGTTTTCCAATTCTATTTTTTTAAATAGGGTTTTTCATGTTTAGGGGAGGTTGACACGACGTTGGCGGATGAGATTTCGAAAAAGGTGAGGGTCCTGTGTTGGGTGATGACTCAACCGGAGAACCACGAGTCCAAGGCCAGGCACATCAAGGCCACATGGGGGAGGCGGTGTAATGTCCTCCTCTTCATGAGCTCGAAGAACGGTATGTCATGCTTTTTTGGGGAAGGGGTTCGTGGATTTCGAGGTGTTTTTTCTTCAATCCGTTATTCACTGTGGATGCTGATTTTCATCTCGACTCTGCTGTGCATTCATCTCTTCTTTTATGTTACCGTCATCTATGCTTTTTTGGGGAAGGGGTTCGTGGATTTCGAGGTGTTTTTTCTTCAATCCGTTATTCACTGTGGATGCTGATCATCTCGACTCTGCTGTGCATTCATCTCTTCTTTTATGTTCCCGTCATCGCTTACCCTCTGCTGGTTAGATTCGTCGCTGCCGGCCATTGCCCTTCCCGTGGGCGAAGGGAGGGAATATCTCTGGGAGAAGACCCGCGAGGCATTTCGTTACATCTACCTGCACCACTTCCAGGACGCCGATTGGTTCTTCAAGGCCGACGATGACACGTGAGGCATCTCGCTCACAATCCTGCGTTGGCGGAAAAAGAAACTGTTTACCTTTCAGGTCTCTTCTAGATCCCCTTATTGCGCAAATAACTTGTGTCAAACAGCCAAGGCAGTGTACCATGAAATTTGGCTTGTTTGCGTAGGGTTAATCGAGGTTGTGTAAAATTTGGTTCTGTCGCACAAATGCTGCAGAATGCGGTAAGGTTTTCCAAAGAGAACTCTGGTTTGGATCGGTCAAAAAAATGAGATGAGAATGACGGGATGCGAGAATTTAATGCCTTGATGGAGAATGGCTTCACGAGATGTTTGAAGTCACTTCTGAACAGCTCAATCGTTTTTAAATTAGATTAGAGGCCCGGGAAGGTCTCTATTGACGGCGATTTAAAAAGGTGTCCGGTCAGTTCCCCGATTTTACACATCAGCGAGCTTACGGTCGCGGATGGAGGGCAATCGACCGCAGAGTCTCTTACATAAAGAAATTTATTTCTTTATGGATTTTCCTAAGTCGTGGTCCTAAGTAAGTCCTAATCTTATTGTTGCTGCTCAAATGACGTTATTTCTGGCTCAGGAATAGGAATAGCTGAAAATTAAATGTCACCATCGTGTCCACGGGCAGATTTATGGTCAACCCACTTCGCTTGTCTCTGAAGACAAGAGAATGACAGAAGAACCCTACTTGATGAAAAGTTTCATTTTTATTTAATATTGAAATTGAAATGTTTTTCCGTCCGTCCCCGCTCATTTTGTTCTTAGTGAGCCCACTGGAACCCACTGGAACAAGAAAAGACCTTCATCTTCCTTTCGCTCCTCACGAACTCCACGATCTCAATCGCAGTCCAAAGATTGATTCCTGAGCCATCCGACTTCTTTATATTTAGTCCCATTTTACGTCTCGATGGACGTCTTGTCGATCGTCTCATCTGTGGTGGTTGAGAGGATTATCCTGCAACCATTTCTGTTACCTTTTTTCGTGTTTCTTTTCCTTCCCCATGAGAATCTTCATCAGTGATCTCACTGACATTGTATCCGTAGTCGTGTTCCCTTGGCGAAACAAGTTTCTTTAGGTGGGGGAGGGGGGCAATTAAATTATTATTATTAATTATAGCAATTAAAGGATTTCCTCCCCTCCAGGATTAGAGCATATCAGCGACTTTCCCCTTTCATTCCGTTCGCGCTAGAGACCTTCCTCGCTTCGGTTCCGGCTCGGTTGTGGAGGTGGCCGCACTCTTCAATATACAGGGCGGTCCATAATTGTCTCCCCAAAAGTAAAAGATTATTAATCAGGAAGTATACATCTCATTTCAATTATATCTGACTCAAACGATAGCCAATTCAGTATATTTTTAGTTTAGAAATTTTCAGCATTCCATAAGAAACTGGAACAAAGTTACATCCTTACAAATGGAAGCCGCCAAATCACTAGTGTTCAAAATGACGTCTACAATTTTCAGTGACTTAGCGCAGTCTCTCTTTGAATGCCTGCAGAATTCCTTCAATCATCTCCGGTCCTGACTGTAGCGAAGGCATCTCTAATTGCCTGTTTCAGCATATGTAGGTTGTCATAGGTCCGCCGATGAATCTCTTCAGGCTCAGAAACCTCTTATGATTTGCCTTCATGAACTTCTCATCAGGGTACTAAAGCATTTGGACCCAAACCAATTTTTCCCCGCACAATTTGCTTTCTTCAAATTATCCAACCTGTACCTTTGTGCCACCATCAGAAAGGAATTTACAAACGGGGAACCATTAAATAAATATGTATATCTCCCATGCACATACATTTTTATTATAGCTGCCAAATTTAAGAAGGAAAAGAGGGAAGGGAAGCAAAATTGTACCTTTTCGGGGAGAATTTTTTTTCTCTAAGTCCTGAGCGTGCCGAATTCCACAGTTGTGCTCGTATTTTTTCATTAAAAATGACTGCAAATCGCGTGATGTTGCGTACAATACTTTCTTGTTTTTGAACAATTCTTGCTTTTATTATAATATTTTTAAAGGTACGTGGTGGTGGAGAATCTCCGCTTCATGTTGCTCTCGTACGAGCCGAAGGAACCCGTTTACCTCGGCTGCAAGTTCCAACCATACGCCAAGCACGGCTACATGAGTGGAGGAGCCGGTGAGGAAATTTGCATGAAACTCCTATTCCTGTTGGTTGAAATTCATTCCAATGACCATCGCCCATTGTCCTCGTTTCATTGGCCATTGGTCAGAAATTATCAGATTGAATGTTACGCTCTTTTTCTCCATCGTTTCGCGCAATCCCTCTGATATCTGTGAGCATTTCACGAGAAAGGAAATGACGTAACAGTGAAAAAGAAATTCGGTTGCCGACGTCGCGGATACTCGACGACATCCCCAGCTATTACCCTCCAGCCCTTGCCGATTTCCCATGGAAGATAGGATCGCGTTCGCGGTTGACGAGAGCTTCGGCGAAGTTCGACTCGTCGAAGATCGCAAGAGCCGTCTCGGTTAAAAAGGAGGCCGAAAGTAAACGTTAAGAAATTGAAAGTATCGTTTAGATGTCTTCCGATTCTAACAATATTTTCGCCCAATATATCCTGAGATTCGTCACCTGACCTCAGGTTACGTGCTGAGCCGCGAGGCCCTGGACCGACTGGTGAACGGAGCCTTCCCCAATCCCATGACCTGCCCCCTCCTCCAAGGAGCCGAAGACATCAACGTTGGTCTGTCTCTCTCTGTCTCTTATGAGCTGATGAAAGTAATCAGGTGACTGAGCTCGAGACATGAACCCTTTCGTCATGGATTCCATGGAAATTCTTTCAGTGCTGTTGAATTCACCAAAGTTTGAACGCGATCGTGAGCAAAAGCGGCCTCATTTTCCTCACCCATTTCGTGACATGATTAATGACGTCTTCACAGTCAATATAGGGCGTGTCTTTTTTGCTAGCAGCTCAGCTAGTTCTGCTGAGACCCCCAGCATTTGATGACGTCATTTTAAGGCTTAGCTGCTCAGCGTTCTCATCGTTCGCGATGTTCCGGTCGCAACTGCTTGCCCAATAGTGACGTCATTCGATGACGTGGTCGTGCCTAGCCAACGCGTCATTTTCGCCAGCAGCTGCTAGCGGCTGGCGAAAAAGACGCGCCCATACTTAGAAGCCGCTAAATACCAGCTACGTGCAAGTACGAATACGGCTGATTACCTGAATGTAGTAGTACCTGAATGTAGGGTGACAAGAAAATACGTTTTCATAATGGGCATAAGTTTATCTCCGTTAAACTGATTCCATTGTGAATTCAGATTAGTTTAGCTTAAACGGATCCAATGCATGTCACCCAAAATCAGCGAACCGTTAGAGCGATTGGATACGTAGGGTAAGGTGGGGGAAAATGAGAGAGCATTTTTTTATTTTTAACTTCTGCTCAGGCTTTGTTCAAATGAGCAACGTATTGTTTGATAGCAGCAATAGGCATATAGTGACGCTTTCGACACCCATTGGCGGAATATAAAGAAAAAATTAGCACCCTGTCTCATTTTACCCCACTGGAACTTCCCAAAATTCAATCTCTGGTAAAGAACCGGACCTGGAACAGTCATGATTCTCAAACATTTTTCCTGGTTTCCTTAAGATGAAAAAGCTGACCCTTCTCGATTTAGTAACTCAAGTACTAAATCGGAATCACAACGTCTCGTGAATACCGGTAAGAATATTACATCCAGGGGTATGTTTGGCGGCGGTCGGGGTGGAGGGCGGAGACTCGCGGGACGAGCATGGTGGATGGCGCTTCCTCCCGTTCGCCACTTGGAATCACGTGGATCCACTTCCGGAGCACGAAGGGATCATTCCGGAGTGGTTCACCAACTACACGGCTTATCCGCATCGGCGTGGACCCGGCTGCTGTTCCCACACGGCAGTGTCCTTCCATTACGTGAGGCCGGAGGAGTTGTACGAGTACGACTACCTCATCTACAAGCTCCGGCCGTACGGCGTGGCCCCCTGTTTTCGCGGGACCGGAGCGGCGTAGATGAGGATTCGGGGTCCGCTTCGATACTCGATCTCTTGGAATTGTTTTTCATTCTCATCTTTGTGAATAGAAATTAAATCGTATAATTATTGGCTTCCGTAACGGAATTTTCATTGGCTCCGTTACTCTCTCTATTCTATATTTTTTATGTGCCTCGGATCGTGACATTTGACAGGTCATCATTCGGGATGAGGGTCCACGAAATGGAAATGTCATCCAGTAGACAATGCCTTCGAAAAATTCCAGACCAAGAATTGGTTGCTTTCATGATTTCGCTGCAACGATTCACATGTGGAGAGAAAAAAGTGACAAACATTTAACCAATATTCAAGATAATGTATTCCTTTTCCCTTGATTTTCCCTCTTTTCTCTCTCAGCTTCAGCCATTGTGACCTCGCGAATTAAAGTGGAAACGAGTAGCTTCTCTCTCTTTCATTCGACAATCTTGAGAGTTTCAAGAGAAACCGAGCCTGCAAATCACGTAATCCGCGATCGTCGGTCTCGCCTGCTTCATTGTTGTAAGCTTGATGACCTTTGAATTGTCCTACTAGTGTCCCCGATCTTTGCAGTTTCCGGGACATTTCCCGTTTCCATTCTGCGATCCTTGCAATTTCCATCCTGTCGTCCTTTATACCTGCAATTTCCGATCTGTCACTTCCATATTTACAATTTCCCCTTTATACAAATCTCTCTGGTGCCCTTGATTTCCCTCTCATTCGAACCCCATTGGCCCCTTCTTGAGCAAACGACTTCCACTTATATTTATATATGTTCAATGCTTGGTTCCGGCGGACCCCCGTAGGACACCATGTTAAAAGCTCCGTTTAACTCGAATTCGCTTAACTAGAATTTCCGGATATCTCGAATGAAATTTTCACTCCCTATAACGATTTTCTCACGGTTAACTGGAATTCAGGGATGAGAAGGGGGGAAAAATTCTTCTAGTTGGACTTTTTCGATTTTTGAATAAAATGAATGACCCCTTCGGGAGGATGCTCTTTTGTTTCTTTTGTGGTTTTTTTTTTCTTCTTCTCCCTCCTCCCACACAGACGCCTGTGAAGAGAATTAAACCTGAGGATTAAAATCGAAAAGCTTTGGCTATAAAAAAAAATAAGCCTCCTACATTCGCTCTGTCAATCTATCGCTCTCACTCTGAGCCATTCTGTCCCCTATGTCCCTAAACTTGTGTTTTTTTTTGTTTTTTTTTTTTGGGGGGGGGGGGGGGGGCATTTCCGTT